AGATTGTTGTGCATGGAAATAATGGTAGTAACAAGAAATTCTTGATACTATAGGATTCACAGTTTGTCTGGTTATGCTGGTTTGTGATGACAACTACTACTGTACTGTATACAGGTAATAAATTTTCTTTTATTTTTTTGTTCAACAATAAATGTGTACTATATTCTTCTTCATGGAAAAATAAGACATCCCCTGAAAATAAGACCTAGTGCATCTTAGTTAATTATTCTATCACAAGGGTGAGTTCAGTTCTTGACCTGAAGGGGACTACAGACTATAATAATCTTGGGGATTCCACTAGTCTCCATCTGACCAGTAATTCTGGTCTCTTATTTTATTTTATTTTTTTTTCTGGTCTCTTATAATTTTGAGTTTTGCTCTATGTTTTTCTCCTACCTATGTGGGACCTTTTAATCCTTTTTGTAGCAATTGGTAGTGGTCGCTGAGCACTATCTGGTTCTGGTCTTGGGATTGTTGAAACTGATGATCCATTAGTCCACTGAACTAATTGTTTCCATATATCTTTCCATTTTTATGGACTGGGTTTAATTTTGACTTCTTGCTTGTACCCCACTGGTTTGTTTTTAGCTTAGTAGGCGATACACTGAGCTAGCTGCTAACCATAAGAACTGTGGTTGGAACCCACAAGTTGCTCTAATAAAAGTTGAAGGTCTTGGAAACCCCAAAGCCGTTTTTCTCTGATGCAGTGTCACTGTGAATTGGAATTGAGTTGGTGGTAGTGGTTTTTTGTTTTGTTTATGTTTGTGTGTGTCCATTGAACCAGTACTAGGTTATTTTTATTACAGTGGTTGTATAGTATATTTTGATAGCGGGGAGTATGAGGTCTCCTTCCTGCTTTGATCATTTTCTCCAATGCTTTGGCTGTTTGGGGTGTTACTTCTTTTTCTATGAAGTTAGTCATCAATTTTTCCATTTCAGTAAATAGTTATATTGGGTTTTCTTGTATCTGTAGATCCCTTCAGGTTGAATTTTCACTGTATTAATTAAGCCTTCCAATCCATGAGTATAAATGTTTTTCCGCTTTTGTAGGTGTCTTAGTCTCTTGTAAGGAGCCCTGGTGATGCTGTTGGAAAGAGTTGGACTAATAACTTGTAGGTCAGGGGTTCAAACCTACCAGCTGCTCTGCTCCAGAAAGATGAGACTTGTCTGTTCCTGTAAAGATTTCTAAAGCCAGGGAAACTATATAGGGTTGCTGTGGGTTCAAATGAATTTAATGGTAGTAGGTTTCATTTTTTAAATCTTTAGTTGTTATTGTTGTTAGCTACTGTCAAGTTGGTTCCCACCCACAGCAACCCTATGAACAACACAATGAAACACTGTAACTTCTTTACAATTGCTGTTGTGTTTGAGCCCATTATTGTAGCCACTGTGTCATTCTCGCTTGTGGACCTTGCCCCTCTTTTTGCTGCCCATCTACCAAGTATGATTCCTTTTCCAAGGACTGGTCTCTCCTGATTAACATGTCCAAACCAAAGTACATGAGACGAAATCTTGCCATCCATGCATCTAAGGAGCATTCTGTTTGTACTTCTTCCAAGATCGATTTGTTGGGTGCTTTTTTTGCAGTCCATGACACTTTGAATACCCATTTCCAGCACCATAATTCAAATGCATAGATTCTTCTTTTCTTTATTCAGTCTCCGACTTTTACATGCATACAAGGTGATTGAAAATACCATGACTTGAATCAGGCGCATTGTAGTCCTCAAAGTAACATCCCTGCTTTACCCAATGGCATGCATCATTTGATCTCTTTGACTTTTGCTTCCCTGAGCATTGATTGTATCCAAGCAAGATGAAACAACTTCAGTCTTTTCTCCTTTTCTCCCTGTTAGTCCAGCTGTGACGATTTGTTTTTCTTTACTGTGAGTAGTAATCCATACTGAAGCCTGCAATCCTTGATCTTCATCAGCAAGTGTTTCAAGCCCTCCTCACTTTCAGCAAGCAAGGTTGTGTCATCTGCATATTGCAGGTTTTAATAAGCTTTTCTTCATACAGTCCAACTTCTCTGATTATTTGTTCAGCGTACACATTGAATAAGTATAGTGAGAGGATACAACCCTGATGTACACCTTTTGTGATTTTGAAGCCTGCAGCATTTCCTTATTCTTTTTGAACCATTGCCTCCTGATCTTTGTACAGGTTCTGCATGAACACATTGAAGTGCTCTGGAATTCCCATTTTCCTCAAGGCTATCCCTAGTTGGTTATGATCCACACAGTTGAGTGTTTTTGTGTAGTCAATAAGATACAAGTAATCATCTTACTAGTATTCTCTGCTTTCAGCCCAAATCATCTTATATCAGCAATGATAGTAGTGTTTTATAATTTTTTTTTCTCTTAAAAAAATCATCTTGTTGGGGGCCTCATACAGCTCTTATCACAATACACATTGTGTCAAGCACATTTGTACATTCGTTGCCATCATCATTTCCAACACATTTTCTTACTACTTGAGCACTTGGTATCAGCTTGTGTTTGATAATTTTCATTGCATAAGTCTTTTATGTTCGTGGTTAGGTTAATGCTTAGATATTTATCAATTTGGGAGCTATTGTAAATGGAGTTTTAAAAAATTTCTTTTTCAAGTAGTCTTTTTCAGTATAAAGGAACCCACTCATTCTTGTTTTTTTGAGGTATATACCCTACAACCATGTAAAATTCTGCTATTTGTTTCAAAGTTTTATTGTAGAATTTTTAGGCTCTCTGTGCATAAGATCACATCATCTGTAAATATAGTTTTGCTTCTTTCTTTCTGATTTGGCTGTCTTTTATCTCCTCTTTCTGTGTTATTGCTCTGGCTGGGACTTCGAATCCAATGTTGAGTAAGCATGATGACAATGGACACCCTTTCATTTCTATTCCCAGAAGGAAGGCTTTCAGCCTTTCTCGGTTGAGTGTAGTGTTGGCTGTTGGTTTTGAATATATATATTTCCCTTCTATGCCTAATCGGCTAAGAACTTTTTATCAGGAAAGGGAAGGGTGTTGACATTTTTATTAAATGTCTTTTGCATTAATTGATATGACCATATAGATCTTTTTTGTATTTGTATGGCAGATTATACTGATTACTCTTCTAATGTTGAACTAACTTTTTAATCCTGGTATGAATCCTTTTTGATCATGGTGATGATTAAAAAAACAACAACAACAACAACAACAACAAAAAAAAACGTTGCTGAGGCCTGTTGGCTAGAATTTAACTATTTGTTTTTTGAGTATTTTTAAATTTATTCTAAATTTTCTCCTATTTTGTTTGGGTGCTATTTTGTAATGAGCTTTTTGCTAACTTTTTATCATAAATGTTTCTACATGACTATTTATTTATTTAAATTGCAGGACTAAAATAATAATAATATAATACAATATACAAATTAAAATATAAAAGAAAGAAAAGACTACTGTCAATATTTAAAAAGCTAGGGAAGAAATTTTTGTCTTGGAACAAGCAAGAAATAGTTGAGGCTAGATCAATTTCAGGTTGGATCAAGATGGAGGTCAGCTGGCCAAGTGTCAAATTTTGCCATATTTGATCTGCCATAATCAAGTTTATAGTAATCCCTGTCTAATAATAAATTTGTTTGAGTTTCTTGCCTGTGGCTAGAAGGGACCTGCCAGAGGCTTAATCTAACTGGATACTCTGCAGATCGATTTTGGGCTTTCACTGTCGCCCACAGCCTTTTATAAATTGGGTGTTCACAGTTTAAACTCTGATAGTTTTCTTTTTGTCCTATATGGATTTTGTTATTGTCATCTTTGGATGACACAGGCTGGTGTGCTTCATCCATGTGGACTTAGTTGACACTTCATTTAGATAGCTGCTTATTTGAATACAAGCCTTGGAGAACCCAGACACTATTCCATTTGATAGCTGGCCACTATCTGCTTTCTTCACACTTTTGGCATCACCCTTATTTCAGTGATCCTTTCATGAGTGTCAAGCAAGGCCATGTTATCAGAATGAACTGTTCTTGGATTGGGGCAAGGTTAAGTCAGAGCCCAGAATCCATCTGCTTGTCCATGGATTACATAGGACTCTGGTTTACTTTGGTGGTCATAATTATGACAAAAACAACCTCCCTTCCCCCAAGATCAACAACAACAACAGCAACAAACCAGCAAACAAAAGACGGAAAAACAAAACCAAGACCAGAAACAAACAAAAGACTGAACAACAAAAACCCAAAGAAACAAAAAAGAAAAACATTGTCATCACCCCCCTGGGGTATAAGGCAATAAGACAATTGCATAGATAGCATCAACAATTTTTCCAATGAACTCAAGCCACTGTTGATATGAGTAGTGTGTATGAGTACAGTTCCTCCTCCAGTTGTACCCCATGAGCTGTTTTCCAGCACAGTTCAAACACCCAATCAATTGAGCTCTGTTTATACTCAACATGGGATTGGTGCCAGGAGAAAACTTCCTGTATCAATTCTTTCAAGTGTAGATTCCTGCCCAACAGTTCAAAACCTGTCATATTAATGCTAGGGGAATATTGAGGTAGTGATTCTGAGTCCCTTTCCATTTGACGCCCACCCAGCCAGGGGTTGGCCCCAATGTTCAGTGGCTGCCACTTCCACATTCTCAGGGTGACCCCTCTCTGCTTTCTCTCCCATTAGAGTATCCTAGTCCTAAGTTGGGTACAGGGCTTGGTTCATTCAGTCATGCCTCTCTGATGAGTCCTGGTGTGGCTCCTGGGGGATCATACTATACAACTTTCACAATAATATTTAACAATAATAGTTAATGTATAAACAATGTAATCTGTTCCTGATAGGCTCTTCTATTGTTGTGTCTCTATTTACATCAATATACAACTATATTTGATGCTTATTTATTTAATTTTTATTTTTTCCAACCCTAAACCCAACCCTAACCCTAACCTTAAATCTAACACCAAACCTAACAAGAACACTAACACTAACCCAAGCTTATTTATTTTATACTTATTTCTTCCAAACTTGATTGGAGCTTCCACTCACTGACCATGTTGTTCTGTCTCACCATAATTTGTATATGATCAGCAAGGTCCAAATGACTTTCTACTCCCGGAGACCTGATTGCTCTAGATTTTGTATGTATGTGTGATTATTTTGAAGTCATTATGTTTTTAGAGTCAGAGTCTTGGTGGCATAGTAGTTACCCATTGGGCTGTGTGGTAGTCAACTAATCTGGTGTCAGTTTAAGGATTAATAGTGTAGGGGTGGACTCTAGGCTTTCAATCTGGAGATAACCAATGAGACTTCAGTGTGGGCATGGCCTTCTCCTGAGAATTCTGGGAAATCTGGGACTTCCTCCTTGGAGGTGAGACACCTCTTTCTCTGCCACTCCCTGGGAGACATTGCAGAAGAGAAACCACATGGACGCAATCAGACCTCTGAAGCCGGAGAAGCCACAGAGAGACACCTGCCAGTGCTGAGATGCTTACAATGCCACTGCACCCAAAGATTTTTTACCCACTGGCTTGTGTTGGTCCTGCATTTGGCTTCATTGCATGTGTTCGTGAGTTTGAAGAGGACTAAAAAGATTGGTATCGGACATATGGGCTAATATCGGACTTATGGCCTTGGACTGGACTGGGTTGGGATGTTTTCTCAGTGTTCAATTCCTCTTGTATATAAACCTCTCCTTTATATACATATGAGTGTTTATGAATTTGTTTCTCTAGTCTACCCAGACTAACAGGCTTCTAACTGCAAGGGCAGTGGTTTGAAATCACCACTATTCAGTGGGAGAAAGGCAGGCTTTCTACACCCATAAAGAGTTACAGTCTTGGAAACACACAGGGCCAGTTGTACCCTGCCCTAGAGGGGCACTGTTTCTCAAAATCAACTTGATGGCAATGAGTTTGTTTTTTGGATTGTGTTTTGCTTGGAGGGTCCATAATAATTGATGTGGTGTGGTATCGAAGTTCGTGAATATGGTAATTGTGGGGAGGCCTGAATTCTGTGCTTTTATGACCCAGTGTTAACTTCTTAATGTCTTGCCTTTCTTTATAAAGGGGGCATGGAGGAAGAAAGAATAGCTGCTGAGTTATCAAAAAATATGACACAGGTATGTGAAAATTTAAAATCTCCAAAAAAGTGTTTTCACTCTACCAGGTCATCTACCACATCCTTCTAATTGTGTAGAGCAGATATTATCAACCTGTGACTGTATAAGATAATTAAGTTTTTTAGTCTTTGAAGCCTTTGCTATTTCTGTTATAACTCAATTCTGTAATTTTAATGTATAAGTAGTCTGACAATATATAAACAAATATTTTATTTTGGTAAAATAAAACTTTACTTACAGAAACAGACTTATGGGTGGATTTAGCCCATGCAACAAACTCTCAGATTTGATGAGGAAGAAAGGAAAAGTTCCCAGTTATTTATTGATTTTATTTACAAGGTCTAGATTTGACCCTGTGTCACAGGTGCTGATAGCTGTGGTAATTTAAACTTAGTATTGTGGTAACAGAAATACCACAAGTGAGTGGTTTAAAAGAACCATAATGTGTTTTCTCTAATTCAGGAGGTTAGAAGTATAAATTGAGGGTATCAGCTCTGGGAAAATTTCTTATTTTCTCTAGCCTCAGTGTGTTTCTTCTTTCCTTTGTGATCTCTGAATGACAGCTCTCTCTTCCTAGTTTTGCTAGTTTCTCTGTGCTCTTTCTCTCTCTCAAAAGTCATTAGGTTTGTGACATACCCTGCACTTATCTGGTGTTAGTAACATAACAAGGCCTTATCAGAAGTGCAAGGATTAGGATTCCAACCCATATTTTGGGGTGTGGAGTGAATCTGGAGGGATTACAGTTCAATCTATAATTGTGAACCATAAGGTGAAAATTTCTTTTGTAACAAGGAATTAGATGGTAACAATGTGGAAAGTTACATGGCATTTCTCATTTCTGCCATGTATTCTGTATTGTTCTAGACCAGGAGTTGGCAAACTTTTGAGATGGAAGAGCCAATCCTATGCATCACAACAATTTAAAATTATTCAAGAGCTATAAATATATTTTTGCAAAGTAATGAAATCACCATTATCTGAATAATATCCTTTAAAATTTTTCAAGTTTACTTCGGAGTCACATGTGCACACTACAAACCGCATATGGTTCTCAAGCCAGTTTGTCAACCTGTGTTCTAGACCATGAAAATGGAAAAAAATAAGACTGGAATTGGTCACTATCAGACATTTATTACTCTTTAAGACGAGATTTGTTCAGTCAGAGCACATGTGAATTAAACAAACTCACTGCCATCAAGTCAGTGCTGACTCAGCAACCCTATAAGAATGCCCTTGTGTGTTTCTGAGACTGTAACTCTTTACCGGAGTAGAAATCCCTGTCTTTTCCCCATGGGACAGTTGGTGGTTTTGAACTGCTGACCAGTGGGTAACCACTATGACATTAGGGCTTCTGTATATGTGACTGGAAAAAAAGTCATTTGATGCTTGAGTCATAGAATAAAAGTTGAGAGAGCACAGAACCTTCTGAACTTCCTGTGAATTGATTCTCATTTCTTCAGTGCTGTCAGCCACACCTATTCTCCTGCACACATTAGGGGAGTTGGTACCTTGCTGAACCAGAATATATGGAATATTTTAGGACTCAGTGGTCTTCGAAGATGTGGTTGTGGACTTTACTCAAGAGGAGTGGGCTTTGTTGGATCTTGCTCAGAGGAACCTCTATAGAGATGTGATGCTGGAAAACTTCCAGAACCTGGCCTCATTAGGTAAGAAGAGCAATAAATAATCCTATATTTTGTTGTATAGAAAGCAATTTTGTCTTAAATTCAACAGTTTTTCACAATTTTAAATGAGGAATGAGTTTGCATTGATAAAGACAGATTTGGTCCCTGACCTTAGAGAATTTAGAGAGTCTAGTGATTTTTCACCATAAAAATGTACATGTATCTATTAAACTATAAATTCTATGATTGGTGCCTTTTGTATTCCTTAAACAAAATTATAACATGCATGTTCCTTTGCTTTATTTTACCATCACGTTGGAGACATCTTATTTGAGGTAGATATTCTGTGAGGTTGTTTATGGAAAACAGTGTTCTGGCTGGGAGTGTCTTATCAATTTATAATATTGAGAAATAATTGTGAATATCAGATCAGTTTTGATCTTAAGAGGCTGCTTTTTATTTTTTAGCACTGTGCTTTTTATAAATTGGACAAACATTTTACTTCATTTAAACTCAGGTTTATTATCATACATCTTGAAGACTAAAGTTTTGACCTTGTCTCATGGAAATGTTTGTGGTTTTCATTGTTTTCCCTCGTGATATGCCTTTTTCTATTATCAGGTTATCTACTATATATACCTCATCTGATCTCCCAATTGAAAAGAGAGAAGGACCTGGAGATAGTAGAGTGGGGATTTATTCAGGGCCCTTTTATAGAAGAGCACAAGGAAGGTAGGAATACTTGTGGAAGAACGTGTCTGATTGGGGGTTAATAAATTAAACCTGCTTCGAAATAAAAAAAACCCAAAAACCTTTTTTTTTTTTTTTGGTCTAAGGAGACTTATCTTTTATGGATACCTTAGCTACTTTTGTCTTTGTCAATTTTCTGTATTATCTTTTTGAAAGATAGTATTTGGTCATATGCATGTATCCAATTCTTTTTTACTTTGCTTTCCAAATTATGTCCAGTTTTTTGTTTTTGTCAGTCCCAGTCTTCATGGGATTCTGAACTAGATATTACCATTTTTACTTTTGTGTAATTTGTTACTAGTCATGAAACAACCAAACTTGTAAAAATCTTTCTGTTTCAGGCATTAAAGCTCAACTTAAAACCAATGAATCAGTTGCTCAGCAAGATATTTTCAGAGAAAAAATATCCAATGAACAGGAAATAGTACAGTTTAAAAGAAGTGATTCCTGGTCGTTCAATTTACATGCAAATCAAGAGTACCATAGTATTGACAATCAGAACAGTAATCATGAAAGACATTTAAGGTGAGTGGCACTCATGTAAAAGAAAACAATATATTCTCTTTCACTGCCACCAAGTTGATGCCAACTTATAGTGACCTTATGAAATAGGATACTCCTGCCCCGTGACCTTCTGAGAAGGTTTACAGGAGTAGAAAGCCCTAGCTTTCTCTTGCCCCTGGTGGTTTTGAGCTGCTGACCTTCTGGTTAGCAGCCCATTGTGTAACTGCTATGCCATGAAGGCTCACTCCTTTGGAGAGAATTTTAAAATGTTATGAAATTTAAAAGACTTGGGTATATAAATCTAGGTTTAAAAAGTGATTTCTCAAACAATTTTCACAAGGTAGCATTTCTACAAATGTGATTGAAATTTTGAATGTTTGACACTTAATTTACTTGCAAACTATTATAAAAATTACATGTCAGAAACTCGGTGGCAATATTGGCTGTGGTATTGGCTATATGAGAATGTTCATCATATGACTTGACAAGAAGCACAATTTATGTTTTTCATGAAAATTGTGAAAAATGATTAATTATGTGCTTTTTATTTTCAAAAAAAGTTGTGTGGCGAAGAGCATCTCTGAATATAATGAGGGAAATCAATGTGAGCAATCCTGCAGCCAAATTCCCAGTCTTGATGTGGTCGAGAGACCTACTGGAGAAAAGCCCTACGAATGCCATGTATGTGGAGAGGCCTTCATCAATCATTCATCCTTTAAGAGTCACTTTAGATCTCACACTGGAAGCAAACCCTATCAATGTAAGGAATGTGGAAAATCCTTTCATTTTCTTGCTTCTTTTAAAAAACATGTAAAAACGCTCATTGATGAGAAGCCCTATGAATGTGAGGAATGCCACAAAGCCTTTAATTGTTCTTCATCTTATAAGACACATATGAAGAGTCATACAGCAAAGAAAAAGTGTGAGTGTAAGGAATGTGGGAAAACTTTCAGTTGTTCTTCATCCCTCACAGAACATAAACGAATTCATAGTGGAGAAAAGCCTTATGAATGTAAGCAGTGTGGGAAGGCTTTTAGTTGTTCTTCTTCCCTCTCAAAACATAAACGAATTCATAGTGGAGATAAGCCGTATGAGTGCAAGGAATGTGGGAAAGCTTTTAGTTCTTCTTCCCACCTTATAATACATATACGAATTCATACTGGAGAGAAGCCTTATGAATGTAAACAGTGTGGGAAGGCCTTCAGTGAGTCCTCAAAACTCAATGTTCATGTGAGAACACACACTGGAGAAAAACCTTATAAATGTAAAGACTGTGGAAAAGCCTACAATTGTCCTTCGTCCTTGAGTATCCATATGAGAAAACACACTGGAGAGAAACCTTATGAATGTCTGGAATGTGGAAAGGCCTTCTATCTTCCTACTTCTCTTAATACACATGTGAAAAATCAAAGTAGAGAGAAACCCTATGAATGTAAAGAATGTGGAAAAGCCTTTAGTTGCCCTTCATTCTTTAGAGCACATATGAAAGATCACACTGGAAAAGTACAGTATGAATGTAAGGAATGTGGGAAAAAATTTGGCCGTTCTTCATCCCTCACTGAACACTTAAGAACCCACAGTGGAGAGAAGCCTTATGAATGTAAGGAATGTGGAAAAGGTTTTATTAGCTCTTCTCATCTCACGGTACATGTAAGAACTCATACTGGAGAAAAACCTTATCAATGTAAGAAATGTGGGAAGGGCTTTATTTACCCCTCAGCTCTTAGGATTCATATGCGAACACACACTGGGGAGAAACCCTATGAATGTATGGAATGTGGGAAAGCATTTCGTCATTCTTCATACCTGATTGTACATACAAGAATGCACACTGGAGAGAAACCATTTGACTGTCTTGAATGTGGAAAAGCTTTCAGTTGTCCTTCATCCTTTCGAAGACATGTGAGAAGCCACACTGGAGAGAAACCCTATAAATGCAAGGAATGTGGAAAAGCCTTTGTTTGTCCAGCCTACTTTCGAAGACACGTGAAAATTCACACTAAAGAAAACTTATGATGGTAGGAAAATAGGAATATCTATATGAATTTTTTTCAACTCTTAATGCAATATATGTCAGATAGAGATGCAATGCAAAAGTAAAGAAAGACTTCAGTTGTCACAAATCTATTGAAACTTTTGGGTTTCAGTTACCTTTTTTAAAGGTATGTGTACACTGCGAGTGTGCTAAACTTAACTAGCTTGATGAAATTATACATGTGTTCTTTAATAAACAGCATGTTTTTAGGACTCTAGAAAATTCATCCATGCCCATTCTCAATAATTGTCCCACAAAGGCAACCACAATTTTGACTCATCCAAGGGGGTTTCAGAAAGTAAGTTGACAAGTTTTATTAGTTCTCAGTTCCATTTTTAGGAACTGAGTACCATCTTTATATATCAGGTTTACCTGATATATAAAGATGGTAGGTACTTTTTTCATGTGCTTATTGGCTATTTGGATATCTTTTGAGTGCAACTCTCAAGCATATTGTCCCTTCTTTTGGTTTGTTTTATTGATTTGAAGGCCTTTCTTTTGAATGCAACTCAAGCATTTTGTCTCCTTTTGGTTTGTTTTATTGATTTGAAGGCCTTTCTGTTATTTATCATTTATTGTACATACATAAGTATCTTTATATAAAGACACATCGTTTTTCAGGATTGATTCAATGCCAGTGGATTATATATGTATATTATTAATTATAAATATATACACACCATGTATTTGTTGTTAGGTACTGTTGAGTTATTTTCAACTCGTAGTAACCCTGTGTACAACAGAATGAAGTACTGTCATCCCCACTCATTCTGCTGTTAGAGCCCATGATGTCTCACTGTGTCTTGTTGAGGGTCTTTAACTTTTTTCACTGATCTCTAATTTACCAAGCATGCTACCCTTCTCAAGGGGCAAGTCCCACCAGATGAAATGCTCAAAGTACATGAAACTTAAGTGTCACTATTCTTTTTTCTAAGGACCATTTTGACTGTTCCTCTTTCAATACAGACTTGTTTGTTCTTCTGGCAATTCATGGTGCATTTAATATTCTTGCCAACACTGTAACTCAAAGGCTTGTTTAGCTTGCTTTCTTTTAAAAAAAAGTCATTTTATTGGGGGCTCATCCAGCTCTTATCACAATACATACATACATTTGTGTCAAGCACACTTGTACATTTGTTGCCATCATCATTTTCAAAACATTTTCATTTCACTTGAACCCTTGGTATCAGCTTCTCATTTTTTCCTCTCATGAACCCTTAATAATTTATTGGTTATTATTATTATTTTTCATGTCTTACACTGATCAATGTGTCCCTTCACTCACTTTTGTTTCCCATCCCCCTGGGAGGGGGTTATAGTTAGATCATTGTGATCAGTTAACCCTACCTCCTCCCACCTTTCCCCTTCCCCTTCTGGTATGATTACTCTCAATATTGGTCCTGAGGGGTTATCTGTCCTGGATTCCCTGTGTTTCCAGCTCTTGTCTGTACTCATGTACATGCTCTGGTCTAGTCAGATTTGCAAGGTGGAGCGGGAGTCATGATAGTTGTGGAGAGGAACTATTAAAGGACTAGAGCAGTGGTTCTCAACCTGTGGACCCCGACCCCTTTGATAGCCAGGCACCATCAGCTTTCTTCACCATATTTGCTTATGTACCTGCTTTGTCTTCAGCGAACATGTTGGGAATGCCAACATGGAATGCCAGTTTTATAGAGCAAAGTGTACTTGCATTGTGGGAGTACTTGAGTAGAGGCCCAATGTCCATCTGCTACCTTAATACTAAACCTATAAATATACATACATAGATCTATTGCCCCATTGTCATATATACTGTATGTACTCAGTATAAGCCGACCTGAATGTCAGCCGAAGCACCTAATTTTACCAGAAAAGTTGTATAAAAAAATGTGCCGAAAAATGGCTTATACAGGAGTATATACGGTAAATATGGTTATGTATGTACATACCTGTATTTAGACCTCTATAAATGCCTCCTAGTTCTTTCCTCTATTTTCTTTTACTTTCCTCCTGTCCCATTATCATGTTTAGCCTTCATTTGGGTTTCAGTAATTCCTATCAGATACAGTGCCCTTGATCAAGCCCTACCAGGCCTCCTACACCCTCCTTGCTGTCAGTTTTAGATCACTTGTTTCCTTGTCCCTGGGTTTGTTAACACCCACTTCCTTTCCCCGGCCTCCCCCTCTCCCATGTCCCTCTGGAACTGTGGGTCCCGTTGTTTCTACTCCAGATTATTTATTGCACCTATATTATCTAGATAGACATGCAGAGACAATAATATGCACAAAAATAAGACAGCAAAACAAAGCAACAAGAGAACACAACAACAAAAAGCCAAGGACAAAAAAAAAGTTCAAGACGTATAAATAGTTTAAGGTCTGTTTCTTGACCCCTAGGAGTGTTTTCTGGTTGAGTCTGATGGGGTGCCACGCCATGTCCTTAGAGTCTATTTTTGGTATTCCCTGGGCACTTCATTGCTTTAATTGTTTAGCTTTCTTATGCTAAACAAGTGCACTGATCTTTAACACTTTAAACAGTTCTTTTGCTGCAGATATGCCTAACAATTATATTGTTTGTTTTTTGATTGCTTCTTTCTTGGGCTCTGAATGTGGATCCAAGTAAAATGAAGTCCCTAATAACTCCAGTCTTTTATGTTCATCATGATGTTGCATAGTCTCCCAATTGTAGAGATGTTTGCTTTCTTGATGTTGATGTGCAATCCATATGGAAGGTTTTTGTCTTTGATCTCCATTGGTATGTTCTTCTAAGTTCAGGGTTGTTCCACCTGCATATCACAGGTTGTTAATGAGTCTTCCTCCAATCCTGATGTCAAATTCTTCTTTTAGCCTAGTTTCTTTGATTTCCTCAGCATGTAGCTAGAATAATGTAACATTGTATAGTGACATTTTGGTTGTCTCAGTTTATTCCAGATTCGTGTTCAAGCACTCAAGAGTTGAGAACTGAACATATTTTACCCATAAGAAATAATGGAATGCCAAATAATTGGTTTTGAGTACCAACGATTATACTTATAAATCAGTTTTTCTAAGACTTTAACACAAAGCTAACAGCCCTAGATTGTGGACATACCCCCTGAAGCATCTAAACAGAATAATACATTAAATATCCAAACACAGTAAATAGAATTTAAAAAATTTCACAGATACTTTACTCCTAGGGTTCTTGGCATACTAGGAGCTGGAGGGAAATTGCAGGAGGAGAAATGTCCTATTTTGGAACGAGGGTCTCCTTCTATAATGACTGCTGGCATTGCTTTCTGAGGCCTTTTGGTCTCTTCACACTAAAGATTTGTCTAATGACACCTGCTTCTGCATTCTTTTCAAAATGTTCCTAAAGTGAGAGATAGCATTTTCATATGCTAGGTTCACAATTTTGTCTTACCATTGTCTTGTCTGTCCAGAAAGTGGCCACTTCCATCCATTTAGCATTCATTTCTTTTATTAATGAAATAGGAACCTCCTCCCTACCCTCTTCCCTCGAGGATATATCCTCAGCTGCTTTCTGCTACTGCCCCTTTTGAAGATTCTGAAGTTCTTCAGTGGTGCTCCTTTGCCAACTTCTCCACATCCTTTTCATCAACCTCTAGACCTGTTGACCCAGCTGAGGGAGGACAATCTCCTCCACAGTAGGCTCCACATCAGAGCCCTCAAAGCTTTCAAAGTCTCCTCTGTCACAGCTTCTGGCCACAGTTTTCACCATGCACAGTTCATGGTCTTTCTCCCTCCGCTTTGTAGATCAGGGTAATGCAGGGGAAGATGTGAAAATGATTTTCCCAGAACTCTTGCAGGGTAAACTGGGTTTCTGAGGTTATTTCAAAGAACCACCTGCAACAGTGCTTTCAGTGTACAGTTTTTAAAAATTATCAGTGACTTGCTAGTTCATGGGATGGATAAGAGGGGTCGTATTTGAGGCAAGAATTAATAGCGATAAGGGGCATTTATCATCTAAATCTTCCAACCCTGCAAGATGATTGGGAGCATTATCCATTAAGAGGAATGCTTTTACAGGCAAGATTTCCTCCTGCGAGTATTTCATACCAGGCGCAAATATCTAATGTACCTAATTAATGAAAAACCACCTGGTCACCCACCTGTTATTTGCCCTCCTCATCACACTTGTTTTTAATTATGTTTTGTAATTTAAATACCTCTGGGTTTTTGGAATAGTACACTAACATGAACTTTAAAATCCCCACTAGCATTCCCACACAACAGAGTGAGCCTGTTTTGTGTGGCCGAGCATTGCCTTTTCCTCTTTAGTAATGAAGGTCCTATTAGGCGTTTTTTCCCCCAAAGTCTGGTTTTGTCACAGTTGAACACTTGCTCAGCCTCCACGTTTTCAACAGATTTAGCCAGGTATGTATCAGCTTCACCTTTATTGGTACTCACCTTTTCCTCATTTCTCACTACACTCTGTATGCCTCTTTTTTTGAATTTTTTAAACTAGCCCAGGCTGGCTTTGCACACTTTGGGCTGTTCAACACTCGCTCCCAGAGCAGTTTTCACTAAATCACTGTGCATGCTCTCCGCCTTCTTGAACATCCCTGTCTTGGATATGCTATCGCCATCAAGTTGTTTCTGATTACCCAAATTAACAGTAACTTTTCCACCTCTTCAAAGACCCAGGCTCTTTGTTTTGTGGTGATCAATTTCACACCTTTTACTACATCAGGCACCTTTTTTCTCCATAAAAATGTTGATAATGTCGGTTTTGCCATGTTTTATTCAGGCACCAAATCAGAAAAGCGGTGACCTGATTCAAATTTCACAATGATTTTTCTTCAACTATTGTCATTCTCACACTTTTCCTCTTAGCTTTGTTGCTGGTATCACTAACTTTCTTTGGAGTCATGGTTACGATATTTTATGCAAATAAAATGCAAGAAATGAAAAACACACATAAAACCCCAAACACTGGCAAATGTTTTAACACACCAACATAAGCTTGTCTGAGGGAAAGTGGCGCTTAGACTAAAGTGCCGCCACCCCTTTGTGTCTGAGGTGAGATATGATGCGTGAGTCAGTCACATGAATTTCAAGTCGGATTTTCAGTTGGATTAGAGCAAAGTTATGGACACCAATCTGTTTGGGCAGTGGAAAGTTCGAGCTTGAAGTCATTTAACAACCGAGATATCACTGTATATAGTCTATAGACACAAAATATTATATTTATATTGCAAATAACCTCCTTGTCTCTGCCTGGTTTTTCTACTCCTCTAATTTTTCT